TAGATAAAAAATTGCAATATATGCTAAGTTTATTTTTGATGAAAAAAGACTCCATATCTTATCATCAAGCCTTAAAGTGATTTAATTCTGACTACTCTATAAATTTTTGAATTCTACTATGTTTTATATAAATTTAAGCTCTACTATAGTAAATATGCTTTTGAATTTTACTTTTAGAAGAAATATAGAGCTTATATAGTAAGCTTATAACTTATTTTCAATGAGCAATATAAATGCTTTTTTGCATATAGCTTTATAACAACATTTTAATAACCAAAAGCATTCATCTATAAGAATTATTTTGTAATTATATATATAAGATATCTTTAATAAATGCCAATCTCCTTAATTGCATATCAGTCATACAGCATCACATTACTGTGATTAGATATAGATGCCATAAAATAGCTCAAATTTCTTAAATCACAATTAAGTGACCTTAGTACTTTATATGATTTATATGCTCTATGTTTTAATATTCTTGGGGTGATTATCTTAGCGGGGTGGTTCCTGTTATAACTCTGGTGCAGGCTTAGTTTAAACAAGTCTGAAACCAGTACTGGCTTGAAAATCTCAGTGTGGTATATTGTTCCAAGTTTAACTTGCCTTGTTTAATCTATCTTGGATCTTCACCTAATTGTTAAAACTCATCCAACATATTTGTTTAGTCTATTCTAATATTTATTGATGAAGATTTTTATATGCTATATAATTATAAATGAGATGGTTATTACAGAAATAATCCAGAAGTATTTTGACATTTTATAGAAGACTTATTAAAAGATCTTTAGAATAGCTAACATGAGAGAAGACCATATAAATCTATTCATTAAATAATTTACATAAAATTAATCAGACCAGTGTTCTTATGATCTGATGGCAATAAAACCAAAAAAATGTGTAGTGATAAATTTCTTACATAAAATTCTTCTTGATTTTTTGTGGGAATAAAAAGAAAAAATGGCTCTGCTGCAACCTTATGTCCTTCAGTCTTTCATAAAGTAAAATATCATTAGGTCCTTTATCTATGATAACCATGATCAGACCAATACACATTTTCTTTAATTAGTCTTCCTTATATCAGTGAAAATTACCTAATTATCTTTTATTGCAGAATTAGAAGATCAGTTATGTATTATATTTTTTAGTTCAGCCTTAAACATCTTTATCTTCTTAAGTACAATCTTAAGTATCAGTTAAGTATGGGTCTATACTAAAGCATTCTGGAATTTAACTTGGCTTAGTTTCAACTTTTTTTATAATATTATACAAAAATGTTCCACATAAAGATAAAAGAATTACAAAAAACATATAATGCTTTGCACTACAGCTTCTAAATTAGATAGTGAATGAGAGCTAATCTACATTTAACAACTTTTAAATATACATATAAAGCTTTTCCTTTTACCATATTTATCTTATATCATAATGATTAAATTAAGCTAGTACCTTATTTTTCTACTAATTTGATACTCTAAACGTTATTAAAAAGTTTTAGTAAACTACATATTAAACAATCATTACAAAAGAAAATTTAAGCATAAACTGATAACTTTTGAAGCTTATAAGTTTTTAATGTGTGGTGGCTCCCCCTTTTGGATTGGGCACCACTGATATTAAAAAAATAGATTTACAAGTTTTTAGTAATAAAGCAATGTCATATTACATACAGGAGGCATCCTAGTTACTTGTTAATAGCATTTCATATTCTAAAATTTTTATTACAAATGAGAGTCAAAAATTTGATTTATAAGTTAAAAAATTCAGACATAAGCAAGATGATAAAACGTAAGTGACTTCTATGTCTTTTAAGTTATATTAATAAAAATTTGCTATAATGTCATACACAAGCACCAAAACATTTGTCAAAAGAATCATGCATCTCAAATTTTACCTGAACCTACAGAAAAAGTCTTCCATGATACTTAACCTAGCATAATAGAAAACAAAGTTTTATTTTATAGCTGTAAAGGCACTCTTATTATCTTAAATATTACATTTTAAAAAGCTCTGAATAACTCTATAAACCTTCAGTATTTACATTAGAGATAGTTGTTTACAGAGCACAATGAGTTTCTATATAAGGATGGTTTGAAAAGTTCATGTCCTCATTAATAAATATCATCTCTATGAGCAAAGTATTTCTTCATTTACTTTGGTGTGCCCAACACAACATTATATGTGTAATTAAGAGTTATTATTATGTAGAATTTTGTATAAGGCTATTTAAACTAGCATAGTTTTGTATGTTTTTTTTATTTTTATTCAAGGTGTGCTGACCTGGGGATGATACCTCACCAATGAAGGAAAGTGAAGAAAATGAGAAAGGAGGATAAAACCTGTAAAACCTCCATGCACGGTGTTTGGTAAGCCAGGAACTCCATGGAACGCCTTTGTTAGTTGCTATCTTGGTTTGAGGCATTGGTGCAAAAAATAACACAATCATAATCATCCCTACTCAAAGTTCATCTACTGGGATCAAACTCTGGGAGGCAGTGGTAGAGGGTCCAAAACTACCACTGGGATAACCTCCCCTTATATTTGTGTATGGTTTAAGTATGGATACGATTAAATTGCATTTATTAGTTTTTGTAAACAAAGTTTTAATTTATGTATATTCATTATAAGTTCATTTAAGTTTATTTAAATTTTCAACATTATTGAAAACAAAAAATAGGCTCTATCTATAAACATGGCAGTACAAACTTGAACTTGATCCACATGAGGGACACCAAAAATTGCATTAATATCATGAATATTTAAATAATATACAACTTTGTATTAGATGACATACAGATTATAAAAATGAGATTTCTGACTATTTGGTTATTTCAAAAGAATGTGAAGTTTATGTTTTTCATGAATTGCATATAATAAGGCTTTTCATAAGATGGGTTTCACGTGCTCACAGCAAATCAAAAATGAATTCTTGAAAAAAATCTGTGAATAGTGCATGGAGCGTTTTTACATAACTATCTAATTTTGGGCATCTATTTATAATATGTATGAAACGTGGATTCAGAATCACACACCAGAATTAAAATAGCAGTCAAACCCACTAGATCTAAAAAAATCAGAAATCAAAACATTGGATAGAAGCTGTATGTTCAGCGCCAAAGAAAGCAAAGTCAGCCCCACCAGCTAAGAAGTTATTTAATTGGTGTTATATGTTATGCTCAAGGTACTTGGTTATTTAATTACCTAGAAAAGGGTAGAACAATACCCAAAGAATACCATTATATCTTTTTGGCAATATTAAAAATAAAAAAATTAGAAAATATCTATAATCTTAGAAAAGTTCTATCATATTAACAAACCCACCCACAAAAGTGTTTTGTAATGAAAAGTTGAGAGATCTCTGCTATAAATTGCTCAAGCATCCACCCTATACTCCAAATCTAAATCACTGATTTTCATACAATTTTGAAATTCAAGAACTTCCTCTCAGGAGATTAATTCTTTAATAAAGATGTGGTTGCAACTAGACAGGGTTATTTTTAAAGATCTTCTACATAACTAATATAGAGATAGGGCAATGGCATTAGAGTATCACTAAAACATATGTAATATTCTTAAAAAATAATAGAAACCCCATTTTGAAAATTATAAATTTTGAGTTTTTATCACTAGGCTGAGACCTTTTTAGACTACCCTTGTAGTTAGCTAAGAGACTTGACCTAAACTGAATACAGTAAAACTTTAGCCCATACTGGCAACGTTCTCATACCAACTCTAATTTCCAATGAATGTTAGATGTTAACTAACTTAATTATATTCTATACTCCCAACGCACCCTCACCCTGCTCTATGTCAGGATAGTAGTTCACTATAACATAATTTGATGGAGAATAAGTTTATATAAGACAAAAATCATGACTCTGATAATTAATATATACTCAAGTCAACCTTTTTAAATATCCTAAAATAAAATCATAATAATAAAGAAAGCATATATATTAACGTTTAGTTGCATATCTTGATTTATAAAATTTTGCCCAATTAAGGCCTTCTTACTAGAATACAATCTCTTCAACAAAATTTAAAAAAAAGATTATGTAGCATGAGAGATTTTTAACAAAACTTTAATCTTATAATCTTATTAAATAGAATACTTAACTCAAATAGATAATGGTGCCCTCTTTTATAGATAATTTAGAAACCAAAAAGCTATTATGGGCCTTTTATTTTGTTTTTCTGAAATTTTGCCAGCTTAACCTTTAAACAATGTGACATTTCTTGAAGTTGATACACCTTGAAAATTCTAATCTAAGCTTAAATGGATTTAGAAAGAAAAAAATCAATACTTTATGTCAGGAAGGATGTTAAATGAAGGATGAAAGAATCCAACATAAACAAGATTGTGATTTAAAGAAAAGCAAGTATCAAAACAATTAATTTGATAATTAGTCAAATGACCAACAACTGTTTAAAACCATTTAAACTATAAAACCAACTGAATTTCAAACTTCTCAGCTATAAAAATATATTGAGCACCATTAAAAACATATAAAAATCACATTTTTTACATAAAATTTTTTTATTTTACTATGAAGGTTAAAAATATGATGGAATATTGTATTGTCATCTGACCTTAGTAACTGTGAAAAATTTCACAATATATTATGTCAGGAAGTGCTTTAAATAAATGATGTAAGATTCTAGAACAACCAAGCTTGTGAGTTAAAGAAAAGTAAATAAAAAAGGTTGGCGATATTTAAGCACATTATCAGGTAGATTCAAATCGGAAACAAAGCTGGCCTTGAAATTCAGTATAAATTAATAAGCTAAATTTACAATCAGAACTTTTTACCATGATATTATCTAACATTAAATTATAGTGTCAATGCTGTGTAAATCAAAATACGATTAGATTCTAAACTGTATTAAGACGCGTTAACTTATGCGTAAGCGCATGGTTTATCTTCTGCAAGTTAAATCTGACCCGAGAGTTGTAAGTTAAAATGGGTAATCTTGAAAAGATTGAAAAATAAAAATAGAAGCTCCCTCACGGGGAATTGAACCCAGACCGCTCAAGTGAAAGCGGAGAATCCTAACCACTGGACCATGAAGGAAATTTCTTCAAAACTACATATTTTATTTAGAAAAAAGTCAAATAAAGTAAGAGGGGGTGGAATACAAGATTCTGACCAAGAATAAAAGGATCAGAAGGGGGACTGCTAACCAGCTAGCATCTCTTACCATTGCTGGTCGGTGATCATCATTGCTAATCATTGTTCTGGCACTGAGAGGCTTAAAAGCCATTAGACTCTTAATTTATTGCTTTATCACTTATGATAAGCAATCTGGCAGGGAAAGCAGTCATACAGCTTTATTTACCCTGGGAGAAGGCATGAGAATTTGGTTATCCACTGGAGCTGATTGTATAGTACAAATTTTTTTTCTACAATAAACTCCTGTAATGGTGGTGCTCATTGCTAAAACTTTTGGCAATGAGGGCCTGTAAAAATTTACTACTTCAGGTTTCTTATTGGTAAACAACCCTAGTAATCTTTTTACTGAACAGGTTTGGTTTCCTTGTGCACTTTGTCCATGTTGTATAGTATAATAGGTTATTGATCAATAATAGTATGATGACTATTCTCCATAGTTGAGTAGGAATTCTTATAATTTCTTCAATTCAACTAACCCTGTAGTGAGCACCAACTTGTAAAAATTTACTACTTTGGGTTTCTTATTGGTAAACAACCCTAGTAATCTTTTTACTGCACAGGTTTGGTTTCCTCATGCACTTCATCCATGTTGTATAGTATAATAGATTATTGATTGATAATAGTATGATGACTATTATCCATAGTTGAGTATGAATTCTTATATCTCAGCCCAACGCTCATCCAGTATATCCAATTAAATACTTGTGATGTCATATTCTTAGGGATTTGTTCCCTCATTCTGTCCAACCCAATCTTCACTGAGATTCCCTGGTGACAGTCTATTTGGTCCAACACACAGTTGGCAGCAATCCCTGATTATGTCTCCTTCTTCTCTAGATCCCCACTCAGATCTTTACTCTTTTCTCTAAGAGTCTTCCAATTATTGCACACAACAATAATATCCTTGAGAAGAATAGCACAATGGAAGCTGGTGATAGTTTACTTCTTAAACTAAATACTGGCTTAAATAACTTAGACCTATATATCTGTAATATAATCTAATTATCTGTTTTCATAATTTCTCTTTTTTATTATAGTGAATTCTAGGCTCTTATATTGGGGATTTGGTCATCTAACCCTCAGTTGACACCTCTTCGATGAAATGGCAGCTGTTACCATTAAATCACCCATCCTCATCTCAGCAGGGATAGTCTTCCCCATTCTGGCTAGGATTTCATCATTGGACATCCTCAAGACCTAAATGGAAAGAGTCAGAAAATATTTCCCTAACGTTTTCCTCTCAATCCAAGTGAACCAACCATATTTGGCTAGCAACCTGCTTAAGTAATGGGACTTATTACCCATTAATGAAGGTCATGCACCAACTGATTGAGTTGCTAGTTGCAGGTGGCATCACTCGCCTCGCAACTTGCTATTCATTCCCAATCAGTTGGTGATGAAACCCAATTAATCCCATTTGGTACACCTGTTAGTTAATCATTATTAGATGCCCATATTTCATTGGCAACTCTACCCGATGAGATCTTAAGTATTCATCCAGATTGATCCCAACGGATATGACCAGGCAAATATCTCAAAATCCCCCAAACATAGTTACTCTGAAACTTGGGCCAACTGATTTACAATTCACTTTGCCTTAGGGAATTTTCCCATAGTGATTCCTGGTAATCTATCAGGCTGGGAATATGGGCAAAAATCCCAACATAATCCCTCCTTGCCTAGATTTCCAGCAAGAAAATGACTGGATCATGAGGACACCACTTTGGAAACTTGGCCAAATACTTCATTGGTTCAAGCAAATACACTTGTCAATACTAAATGCTGCTTGGGATGACCTTCAGCATGCGGCGCTCTTCCTCTTCCTTCTTGGTACTGCCTTCTCAGAGTGCAGTCCAAATGATCTACTGTCATGCTGGGCTGATCAATTTACTTGTGACAATATTAGTCCCAGGATCCAGTTTTCCCCCATCAGGGTATATGACCCACTGTCATATTCAGTATTCTTGGTCCGGCATCCTTGATTTCCTGATTTTCTCCTCATCCTAGACAGGAGACTCTTGCCATCGATTTTCATTTTGTGGCCCAATTAAGAATACTTATTTTTATTCGCCCTTGTTATTTCTCTCATAACCTCTTGGCTCAAGTCATTACTAATTCTTCTCTTGGAGAGCTTATCTCATTAACTTTGAGATTAATTTCTTTGAAATTGGAGCTTAATGGATTGTAGAGTGCATAATGTGACTACTGTATAAGTCTGATATTCACTCTCTCATCCAGCTCATATATAAATTCAAAGTCACAATGCCAGAAGCATCTGAATAGTTTGTCTGATCAAGACCTTCAGTTCTTCCAGCAGATGGGCTGGGATGCATGGCAGAACCTCTTTTATGGTCCTTCAAGGACTCATATGCCTAGTATGGCGCCAGCAGCTAGTCCTTCTGTCAAATTACTGGAAATGATAACTAATCCCTCTGAAACCAGGCTTGCTATATTTTTGAAAAACTCTCATTAATTCTTTCTCTGCCATCAATTCCACAGTTGGATTTTGAAACTCTTCTGGATTCATCTCCTTTTGCTGATGCACTGACCATCATCATAGATGCTCCAAAGATTATGTCATTTATCTCTTGATCGCTCATTTCTTGCTGGTCAGACCTGCTTCCTGAGCTCTTATTCCAACTCAGACAATATTACAAACCTGCTGTTCTGGCTACTGAGCTCACCATTGGTAACAGTATTCATTTTGAGCTCCCCTATGCTGAACTCTGGGCCCAAGTCACTGAGGCTTTGACTTTAGTGCTGAATCCCTCTGATCTTGATAACCTTCTGGATCAGGATACCGCCTCTTATTCTCTTAGCTTTGCTGGCCAAGTTCTTTGAAGCTGGTCCATGAAGCTTCCAGCCTCTCCTTGGTTTCACTGCTCCTTCAGCTTCAGCTTCCAAGAAGCCTTTAGTCATCACTTGCAGGATGCCATTTGCTCCCTGCACAACTATCTCTTTGCCAGTGCTTCCCATCTGTATCTTCCGATGATGGCGTTGGTAGGGAGCATGATTTGGTAACCCCCATCAACCATCCCTTGTTATTGCCAGCCCGTATGTCTGGTGTTCATGATGGAGCCTATCGTCAGGCGCTTAAGACTAATCCACTGGCTCTGGTAACATATTGTGGTTACTTGAGGTTATTCGCTGATTGTCTCTTATTATACTGTTGCTTTCATCCCCAATCCAAAGTTTTGTAATTAGCTTCATACAACATTTCAATTTCCCTTACCCTAGTCACTTTCTTGCAGGATTCTGTGTCCGCTCAAAGAACGTGGTTTTGTGTAGGGTTAGCCCTCACTAGCATCTGATATCACATCAACTTTGATGGGCTGTTCATTCCTACCGCAATACATCCTCCCTCCCCCAAGAGGCGACATAGGCAGAATCATTTCTGTATCAAGGACAATTAATAAAATTAAACTATAAAATTCGTTTCAGTTTTTTCTCTATGCAGTTTAATATCTTTTTTCCAATATTTTTATCAATCCTTTTTTTTATTTCTATTCTTCTTTTTCCCATGGGACTTGACCTTATTTCAGTCCAGCGGTCATCTTTTTATTTTTTTCCCAAACTGGGTCCTGGGTACTTAAACTTGCCAGTTTTCTATGGTTCAGAGGTCCTTTTTTGGACTTGACCTATTTATCAGGACATGACAGACTTAATGGTTCATTGGTCCTTTGGGAACTCTTCTTTTCATCGATACATCACTTCAGATACTTAGCATGGACTCTATTCACCACACTTCCATCCAAGAGATTCTTGATGGAATAGGCATCAGTTGCCATCTTGGCAATAACTTCAAATGGACCTGACCACAATGCATCTAGGTTGTTTCTTCTTCTGAAATTACACGTATCACAATAGGATACTCTTTTGCCTATTTGATATTCTGTTTAGGCCAGTCTGTTCTTATCATCTGTCAAGTTTGCTTGTATCCTTTTCTTCAACATATTATTGAATGCTTGCAATTGCATATTGATCAGGATATTTGTCAGTCAGTTCAGGTACTGTTTGGCACTCATCCCTGATGTTGTTTCATCATCAAATATAAAATCGGTGGCAACGCGGCCTTTCTCCCATATAAGAACTCAAACGGCATCTTTCCTGTTACCGTATGATGATTGATATCATAGTCAAATGTCACTGAACTCAGATACGTTCCCCACGCACAAGTTCTTCCTGTGACCAGCTTCCTCAGCGTCATGGCCAGTGTTCCATTCAACTGTTCTACCAGTCCATTCATCTCTGGCTGGTAGGGTACTGACACAACTCCTCTGATCCCCATTATATCATTCAACCATGGGATCACATGAGATGTGAAGTTTGTCCCATTATTGCTAAGCAGGACTTAGGACATCCATGTCAATATACTATTTGATCCAGGATGAACCTCGCAGTGCTGAAAGCATCTACATTCATTAGGGCCTTCATCTCAACCCATCTTGTCAGATGGTCAATCACAACTATAATGTACTTGACTCCCCCTGTGCTATAGTCAGCGGTCCCATCATGGTGATGGACACCATGTGCCAGGCAAATCCAGGGTGGATCAGTCAGTATCCAGTTGTATTCTTATGTGGTTTGTGCAGCTGGCACTCCACACAACAAGCTAGATAATCCACGAGATCATAGCTGATGGATTCCAAGTAATAGTACTGGAGAATATGATCAGTTGTTTTCCTCAGGCCTCCATACCTGACAACCTTGTGAGTGGCTTGTACATTAGCTGCTCTTTCCAACAGCTTCAGGAAAGATAACCACTTCCCATTGATCTTCTAAAATACTTGTCCATCCATAGTCTCAGTGTTTTCCATCACTTTCTGAAGCGCACCTTGGATTTCATGGGGCTCATTCCCAATTTCTCCATCGACCATTATCTGGAATAGCCCATCTGCCTG